TAATACCATGTTGAAATTAAGATTTAGGGTTTAGAGCGAAGAGGAGACAAGAGAAAGAAGAAGAAAAGGAGAAGACTAGGAAATAGGGTTAAGGAGAATGAAAATAATCAATCTCTCCTCTAATTACCCGTACTTAAACTCATAAAAAAGGAATGACTACGATAATTCCCTTAATTGAAATAACCTAATATCCTATAGTTGCTAAATAAATTATCCTCGTATTAGTAAGGTTTTATTAAAAAAAATAAAATTTCTATCTACTTAGACCAAATTTGTGATCTTTGGTTGTATAAAAAATAAAATATTTGTTACATAAAATATAAAAATATATTTTATTTGGCGTATCCCGAGTGTGTCCGTGTTCTATTTTTTAGAAAAATATCATGTCCGCATGTCCATGTTGTACGCATATGTGTCCCGTATTCGTTTATGTGCTTCTTAGGTCTCAAAACAATGGAGAAATGTAGTTATCCATTTAGATTGACCTAGACTGTACCGGGATGTTATGAAGTATTTTAAATGGGCTAGAGATCCTCTAAAATGTGGATATTTGATGAGGAAACATTTCTAACTTGTTTCGAGACCCAAACAAAGATGTGTCACAAACTATGTATACTCTCTTGGCACCTTGCAGAGTCAAGGGTCAAAACTAGAGTTTGTGGAGGCTAGAACGTTCATCATTTTGAGAACAACAGGAGAANATACCATAACTTCGTCGATGACATCATTCTAACTATGACGCCATCACTCCGGCAATGACATCAACAATCCAACAGATCCTCTTAGCCTTCTTGAATGCTCTAGTGGCTTTCAAAGTTTAGATAAATTTTTCTAATACCATGTTGAAATTAAGATTTAGGGTTTAGAGCGAAGAGGAGACAAGAGAAAGAAGAAGAAAAGGAGAAGACTAGGAAATAGGGTTAAGGAGAATGAAAATAATCAATCTCTCCTCTAATTACCCGTACTTAAACTCATAAAAAAGGAATGACTACGATAATTCCCTTAATTGAAATAACCTAATATCCTATAGTTGCTAAATAAATTATCCTCGTATTAGTAAGGTTTTATTAAAAAAAATAAAATTTCTATCTACTTAGACCAAATTTGTGATCTTTGGTTGTATAAAAAATAAAATATTTGTTACATAAAATATAAAAATATATTTTATTTGGCGTATCCCGAGTGTGTCCGTGTTCTATTTTTTAGAAAAATATCATGTCCGCATGTCCATGTTGTACGCATATGTGTCCCGTATTCGTTTATGTGCTTCTTAGGTCTCAAAACAATGGAGAAATGTAGTTATCCATTTAGATTGACCTAGACTGTACCGGGATGTTATGAAGTATTTTAAATGGGCTAGAGATCCTCTAAAATGTGGATATTTGATGAGGAAACATTTCTAACTTGTTTCGAGACCCAAACAAAGATGTGTCACAAACTATGTATACTCTCTTGGCACCTTGCAGAGTCAAGGGTCAAAACTAGAGTTTGTGGAGGCTAGAACGTTCATCATTTTGAGAACAACAGGAGAAGTTTAAGAAAATTGCCCAAGTATTGGATGATATATCATTGAGAAAGTGATACCACCCATACCCATTACAACCTTTGTGAAAACTGAGTGAATGAGGTGTTGTCAGGATTATCATTGTAGAAATGAGCTGAAGACCTACCAGTGGTATATCAGGACAAAAGTTGAAGGTGTTGACTAGCGGCATGTGCTTCAGGAACCAGCTGCTGGCTGTGAAGTATCAAGGTTGTGTGAGGGCTACTGCTTAACTAGAGTAATCAAGATTGTAAATGAAGTCAAGTCCTTCTCTACATGTTTCCATATAGTGTGTGTGTGTGTGTGTGTGTGGCTGGATGAGGTTGTGGATTTTCTTGCAAGGATTTCTATGTAAGTATCTTTATGTCTACTTTCTAAAAACAAATCTGTCTCGAGTGATTGCCTTATTACTATTTAATTCTGCATCATATTTAGATCAGTCGCTATCATACCTGTAACAGAGTTATTACATAACACCATATAACTTTTGCACATTTTTCACATCTGTTTTTTTCCCTTTGTTTTCCAGTTTTTGTTCTCTTTTCTTTTTCATTCACCTTTCCTCCATTCTTCTTCACATGTTTCTAATTTTACAGCTTACAATGGCAGAAAATATCTAAAAGGTAAGTGGGCAATTAAGCCTATAGAAATGCCTCAAAGGTCTAACCTAGAGGTTCCAATTCTACCAAGCATGTTCACTAAGTTATGAGCATTGCTTATGGCACATACCATGCACCTTGAGGCTCGCTATAAGCCACATTTGCGAACCTCTAACACCAACAAAATGAGAGTCCTTGTCACAACTTTAACATCTTCCAATTACGTTTTCTTGCATGGTGGCATTCTGTGATCCCGTACTGTAACAGATTATGATATCAAGTTCAATCAAAGCATTAGATATTATTTTGAAACCATATAGATGGGGTTGGCCATGCCATAGGTCAGAGCTAGCACTCTCTCTCGTATCATCCCATATCATGCTCTGACCTTGATGTTATGCGGGAACATATGCAAATATCGAACTAGCACCTTAATTCATTGAGTTCTATGTACTTAGAAATTTAAAACCCCAAATAATGCTTTGCTATGGAGGCTTAGACGTTTGTGCAACAGTATTTTCATGGCTTTATTGAAATTGCTTAGCTAAATCACAATCTGCAGTCTAAAATATAAGAATATGAACGAAGCAGAGGAATTCCACATAGGCATTGAGAGTTAAATTCCGAATAAAAAATACATGTAACTGAGAATTCATGGAGGCAGCAATATTTACCGATAGTGTGGGAGATGGCAGACAACTAAAGAAGTTTCAAATAATATGCAGAAATTACATCCATATCTGTCCTATCTTGTCTTTTATAGCGCTCTTTTTTCCCCCATAAGGCTGCTGAAAAATTGCTTGAAAATCTTCTATCACCTTTCTTCTTCCGTCCACAATTTTGTCTCACAAGAGAAAAATGCATTTGCATAATCTTTTGTCTCAACTTATTTTTTCCAAAAAATCCAGCTATGCAACTCTAGGTAACATATTGACAAAAAAATTCTGGGTAGCATAGACTGCTGTTATTTGCAGTGAAAAGCTAATGAAGAAGTGATATATGATTAGAGAAAGTCAGAAATAGGGGCCAGACATTCACTAAAGATAATATCGTTACTGCACAATTGATTCAAATGCAAGTTACATTCCATGGCAGCCACTTTGAGAGACAGATATCTNGCCACATGTGGGTCACCAAAATCCACAACCCAAGCAGTGCCGAACAGACTTGTCGAGGTCCCAAACTACCACTGGAATCCTCTCTGGCCAACAGAGTTCACAAACAAGTACTGGACACAAGAAAAACCTCATCCATATCCTCGAAACATAGTGGGAAGAAGTCTACCACTGCTGTTAGACACAACCGGTGACTATTGAAACCAAGAAAGCATCAAAAATTATCTAAAAACAACTGGGCTTTAAACAAAAAAATTTATCCCCGAGTTCCCAGGAGTCCACATAAACACTCACAGATTACTTTAGAGTAGATATTGCAGTCCCAAACTCATACAAATCGCATACCATAAGATTTAACCAAAAAAAATTAGAAAATCATTCAAAAACAAGAAACAAACCCCAAATGGCTTCAAAAAAAAAAAATCCAAAAAAATTACAATCGTACCCAGAAGGAAAAACCAAGTCATACCATAACTTCGTCGATGACATCATTCTAACTATGACGCCATCACTCCGGCAATGACATCAACAATCCAACAGATCCTCTTAGCCTTCTTGAATGCTCTAGTGGCTTTCAAAGTTTAGATAAATTTTTCTAATACCATGTTGAAATTAAGATTTAGGGTTTAGAGCGAAGAGGAGACAAGAGAAAGAAGAAGAAAAGGAGAAGACTAGGAAATAGGGTTAAGGAGAATGAAAATAATCAATCTCTCCTCTAATTACCCGTACTTAAACTCATAAAAAAGGAATGACTACGATAATTCCCTTAATTGAAATAACCTAATATCCTATAGTTGCTAAATAAATTATCCTCGTATTAGTAAGGTTTTATTAAAAAAAATAAAATTTCTATCTACTTAGACCAAATTTGTGATCTTTGGTTGTATAAAAAATAAAATATTTGTTACATAAAATATAAAAATATATTTTATTTGGCGTATCCCGAGTGTGTCCGTGTTCTATTTTTTAGAAAAATATCATGTCCGCATGTCCATGTTGTACGCATATGTGTCCCGTATTCGTTTATGTGCTTCTTAGGTCTCAAAACAATGGAGAAATGTAGTTATCCATTTAGATTGACCTAGACTGTACCGGGATGTTATGAAGTATTTTAAATGGGCTAGAGATCCTCTAAAATGTGGATATTTGATGAGGAAACATTTCTAACTTGTTTCGAGACCCAAACAAAGATGTGTCACAAACTATGTATACTCTCTTGGCACCTTGCAGAGTCAAGGGTCAAAACTAGAGTTTGTGGAGGCTAGAACGTTCATCATTTTGAGAACAACAGGAGAAGTTTAAGAAAATTGCCCAAGTATTGGATGATATATCATTGAGAAAGTGATACCACCCATACCCATTACAACCTTTGTGAAAACTGAGTGAATGAGGTGTTGTCAGGATTATCATTGTAGAAATGAGCTGAAGACCTACCAGTGGTATATCAGGACAAAAGTTGAAGGTGTTGACTAGCGGCATGTGCTTCAGGAACCAGCTGCTGGCTGTGAAGTATCAAGGTTGTGTGAGGGCTACTGCTTAACTAGAGTAATCAAGATTGTAAATGAAGTCAAGTCCTTCTCTACATGTTTCCATATAGTGTGTGTGTGTGTGTGTGTGTGGCTGGATGAGGTTGTGGATTTTCTTGCAAGGATTTCTATGTAAGTATCTTTATGTCTACTTTCTAAAAACAAATCTGTCTCGAGTGATTGCCTTATTACTATTTAATTCTGCATCATATTTAGATCAGTCGCTATCATACCTGTAACAGAGTTATTACATAACACCATATAACTTTTGCACATTTTTCACATCTGTTTTTTTCCCTTTGTTTTCCAGTTTTTGTTCTCTTTTCTTTTTCATTCACCTTTCCTCCATTCTTCTTCACATGTTTCTAATTTTACAGCTTACAATGGCAGAAAATATCTAAAAGGTAAGTGGGCAATTAAGCCTATAGAAATGCCTCAAAGGTCTAACCTAGAGGTTCCAATTCTACCAAGCATGTTCACTAAGTTATGAGCATTGCTTATGGCACATACCATGCACCTTGAGGCTCGCTATAAGCCACATTTGCGAACCTCTAACACCAACAAAATGAGAGTCCTTGTCACAACTTTAACATCTTCCAATTACGTTTTCTTGCATGGTGGCATTCTGTGATCCCGTACTGTAACAGATTATGATATCAAGTTCAATCAAAGCATTAGATATTATTTTGAAACCATATAGATGGGGTTGGCCATGCCATAGGTCAGAGCTAGCACTCTCTCTCGTATCATCCCATATCATGCTCTGACCTTGATGTTATGCGGGAACATATGCAAATATCGAACTAGCACCTTAATTCATTGAGTTCTATGTACTTAGAAATTTAAAACCCCAAATAATGCTTTGCTATGGAGGCTTAGACGTTTGTGCAACAGTATTTTCATGGCTTTATTGAAATTGCTTAGCTAAATCACAATCTGCAGTCTAAAATATAAGAATATGAACGAAGCAGAGGAATTCCACATAGGCATTGAGAGTTAAATTCCGAATAAAAAATACATGTAACTGAGAATTCATGGAGGCAGCAATATTTACCGATAGTGTGGGAGATGGCAGACAACTAAAGAAGTTTCAAATAATATGCAGAAATTACATCCATATCTGTCCTATCTTGTCTTTTATAGCGCTCTTTTTTCCCCCATAAGGCTGCTGAAAAATTGCTTGAAAATCTTCTATCACCTTTCTTCTTCCGTCCACAATTTTGTCTCACAAGAGAAAAATGCATTTGCATAATCTTTTGTCTCAACTTATTTTTTCCAAAAAATCCAGCTATGCAACTCTAGGTAACATATTGACAAAAAAATTCTGGGTAGCATAGACTGCTGTTATTTGCAGTGAAAAGCTAATGAAGAAGTGATATATGATTAGAGAAAGTCAGAAATAGGGGCCAGACATTCACTAAAGATAATATCGTTACTGCACAATTGATTCAAATGCAAGTTACATTCCATGGCAGCCACTTTGAGAGACAGATATCTAATGGAATTAAACAAGGAGTCCAGAAGAACAGAAATCGATATGACACAACAAGAAAAATAAAGGTAATCCAGTTTTTGAAAAGCATGCTGGCACACAAATTCAGGTCCCTCTTTGGCAGAGACAAAAGGACAAGTTTCGCCATTATAAGCCAAAAATGAAAGTTAGATACACACACCTGAAGATAGAATCTCTTCACATCATCCTCNATCGATATGACACAACAAGAAAAATAAAGGTAATCCAGTTTTTGAAAAGCATGCTGGCACACAAATTCATGTCCCTCTTTGGCAGAGACAAAAGGACAAGTTTCGCCATTATAAGTCAAAAATGAAAGTTAGATACACACACCTGAAGATAGAATCTCTTCACATCATCCTCATCTACAAGATTGTCTATTCTCTGTGCCATTTGTTTATCACCAAGTGTAACTACTGCTAATGACTGTGAAACCAAAATAAAAGCAAAACTAAGAAAATCAAAGTTTTTAAAAGAAAAGGAAAAAAAACCACATCATCTTGCAAACCAAATTGAATTGTTGAAGTATAAATCTAGGTTAAAAAGTCTGAAATATAAATACATGGGGTTTGCTACATGATCCTTTTCACCATTCAACAACATGAAAGCCTTGTCTATAGTTAAATAGTGTAATGCCGTACTTCATTGCATTAGTAACAAGTAACAAATCACTTATAAAAAATTCCATAATTAAGATGTAAGCAAAGCTTCATATTTAACTTGCACAGGGAAACATCTGAATATTTGGTGTTAAACAACCATCTACTCCAAAATTTTAAGTTGTTGGAGAGAGTGTAACTTAAGTTTTTACACTTAAACATAGCCCCTCACCTGCAAACAAGATTTTGGGCAAGCACGTGGAAATCTTTTAATAATTAGGGTTGCAGCAAGATTCGAACATAGGACCTCGTGCTCTGATATCAATGTAAACAACCATCTACTCCAAAAGCTTAATCAACTTAAACTTTTGGAGAGGGTATAACTTAAGTATTTATACTTCAACATTTGGTAATTGAAGAAATTGAGAAATGCACTCCCCAAAAGATCATGATTGCTTTATATGCCAATCACATGCAATGAGATGCTAAAGTACCGAAGATATATATATATACAGACAAACATATACTCAACGCTGCTTGAAAGTTTATGAAATGAATAAAAAATAATACATTTCATAATGCAAAACATTGAGATAGGATCATATACCAATATCAAGATGCTGGGGTGGATTGGTGGGAAAACAGGTTAAGCGCAATACTATAAACAAGGGAAAAATTTTAATTTCGAAGAATAGTCTCGATTAACAAAAACAAAAAAGGAAACATTTTGAACCCAGTTGAGAACAGAAAAAAGAGGAAAAAATTGGAGTCTTGATTCTGAAACATTTGAAGAAAACATCCTGCAAATGATATATATTTTGGAACATGGGAATTTCAATTTTCAAACACTCATGTTTTGGTTGAACAGGCCATTAAAGTGCATGCATGGACATCTTAAATGTATTAAAAGCAATAAGAGTAACTAATTTGCAGGAGAAGAATGCCTAAATAGATAGTAGTCTGATACAAAATATTAAAGCAATCACTCTGATCTTGTAACATCAACAATTATATCAGAGACACATTACATGCGAACAATATTGCTCACAGGAGAGTAAATATATGTTGGAATCAGTACTTGATGAAGAACATTATAAATGTGATCTTTAGAAACACAAGCATACTGGCTAAATGTTCTTGACACTAAAACTTCACTTCAACCAACCTGTGTTTCTCCACGTGTGAAAAGAGTACTTCCATGTGCTCTAGGAAGTAGTCCACATCGTGAGTTAATTAGTCGTATATCATGTGAAGCCCTGCCATCACTTCTTTTTCCTCCCTGTGAAAAGCAAAATCATATTAGTAACTTTTCAAAACAATTCTTCCACTTTACTTTAATTTCCTCATTTTGTACCAAAACCCTAGAGTCTTCCATGCATTACCTACCTATTTATCTAAGGAAAGAATACAATTACAATTTACTAACAACCCATTATATGACACACTCGTTACAACTTGTAACAAAACTATTTTAATTGATACATACAACTAAAATAGTACTCATTAGGTTTGAAAGAGCAAACATGTGTCAGCAATCCCCCCCGGGGGGATAGGACTACTCACCTTTTTCTTTCAAATTCGATGTTTTTTCTTCAGCTCGGAGTTAAGTCCTTTACGCTTCTTTCCTTAATTAACTCACCCTAAGGGAATTTTAGTCATTTTCTCATTTCACCCATATTGGCCTATTTGATCAATTCATATAATGTGTGAGGAATATAATTACCAAAAGCCTAAGTCTAATTAGTGAAGTCCTACTTATTTTGCAAAAGATGGTCGTCTAGGTCCAAAGATAGTCAATTGGCCCAACCTATAATCACCCGATTTATGTTTAATGCATTGTTTTGTCTCTGTTAGAATACTACTTTCTTTCTTTTTTTTTCCTATTATATAGTTTTCTATTATGTTTCACTTACCTATTATTGTGCTTGTCTTCAATAGCAATCTATTATAAAAATGTGACAGGGTGTTGGCAACACATGCTACACAATATTGTCTCACACTGTTTTTCTCTTTGTTTTTTTTCTTTCTTGTCCTAAGCCCTAACATACAATTATTCAAGTTTCAACTTGGTATCAGAGCAAGATACTTTTGTGAGTGGGTCTGGTCCGAGGCAAGTGCCTCACTCGCCTAGTGATTGGACCAGCCTAGCACAAAATAAGTTGAAGTCCTCTGTGTGTTTGCCTGTTATTGTCAAACCTAGAATCACTCTAAATTGTTGTTTCCATGTCGTTGGTATCTTAATCAGTTGCTCATCGATTGTTGTGGGTATATTAATCAGTTGCTCATCAGCTATTGTGACCATTATCAAGTGTTATGAGGTGCTAAATACATGTTTGTCTCTGGTGTTTGATCATTGGTGCTGATTTTAGTATTTTCAATCCGGTTTAACGTCAAGTCAATGATATTCAACCAAATTTAGTGTTAGTTTAGTGGTTTTCATCCTAGTTCAATTCTGATGTAGTGTTTTCAATCCAGTTTAGTGTCAATTTTTTGGTTTTCAGTCTAGTTTGATGTTGATTAAGCTGGTTTCATCTCGATTTAATTTCGGTTTAGTGTTTTCAACCTGATTTAGCATCTAATTTGCGGTTTTCAACACAATTTGGTACACTTTAGTGGTTTTCATCCTGGTTCAACTCTAACTCGGTGTTTTAGCATGGTTTAGTGCTAGTTTTGTAGTTTTCATCTCGATCGATTCAATATTGGCTTTGTGGTCTTCAACACTGGTTCACCCTTTTTTTGGCCGATTCTACTTGGTTTACCAAATTTTCCATTATTTCAATTTAATTTGTTGTTGTCTATGGTTCTTTGTGGTGTTGTTACCTATATTTGTTTGTGTCGACATTATTGGTGGTGGTACTGTTGATGTGTTTGTCCTTTGTCGTCATCTATGTTGTCATGATCGTCGTTTGTAATTGTTTAGTTTGGTGTGGTCGTTAATTGCTTCTCCATAAAACTAAAGTGATATCTTAAACTTCACCTAGAACCATGACTCAGTTTTGTTACCCTGGTGGAGGATCGTGGTAGCTTGTGTTAATTAAAGAAGTCCTTGAATTGTATGAAGCAATCACTTAGATTTTGGTTTTATCAACCTTACTGTTTACATGGCATGGTTCAAAGTATCGGTCGATACTGATACGAGTCAGCCAAGTCGTATCCATCTCAGCACCTTCGAAGACGATACAGTTACATGACATGAATAAACTCCGAGTCTTGCACAACTATGTCAAGTCGTCCAAATTATATCTGAGTCAATCCCAAGTCTCCAAAATATCGTCACCAAATTGACCAATATGGTTCCACGACATCGTGCTATGTCTTGAATTTCTTATCATGTTCAACATTTTCTTCTAAATCATATCACCCGATACCGCGCCGCGATACCACAACCGATGTGTCTCAGAGCTTTCCGAGTTGATGGCCGATACCACGATCTTTAACCATGTTACGTGGGGATATTGCGGTCAACTCAATGATTTTCTCACTAAGCCATTGGCACGATTCACCTTTAGGAGTCTTTACTCCAAGCTAGGCATTTTTAGTCTATAAGCTTCAACTTGAGAGAGTGCATTAGAATGCTACTTCCCTATTGTTTTGTTTTTCTATGATACGATATTACTTTCCAATCATGTCACTTTCTTATTGTTGTATAGTTCTATTATAAGGTTTTTCGTAATCTACGAAGACATATTTTAACTAAGTAAGACAGATGTAAAATACCCTCGGCTACCACAATTATTTAATTCACTATTTTATTTTTTAAGTATTAATTATATAGTTGTATCTAATTCGTTTTTAAATGGCTCATGACGTAGTAACACGAATAAATGCAAATGGTAAAATATGCTAACCCAAAAGCATTTATACCTTTCCAAAAAAAAATTAATTTCTCAAATAGATTGAAAGAAAATTGATGAGAAATTTCATCATAAAATTGTTCAATTATTAATGATTCTTGAGATTTGTAACAATGACATTGTGTGGCACTTTCATATATGATGATGTTAAAATATACTATGCTAAGTTAATGTCTTTGTATGTTCATATTTTGTTGATGCCGAATTGATTTTGTTTTTTCTTTTATTTTCACATAGTAGCTAAGTGTTGGGTCTAAATATTTTTCTTATATTGTAGCTTTTAGAATTCTTAATTTGAAAATACCCTTAATACAATCCTCATTAATGGAAATCCAAAAAGATTTTTTTATACCATTTGGTTAAGTTTTTTGCTCATAGTTTTGCTCTCACTAAAATGGATATCTGGCTCTGCCACTAATACAATTATTCTTTTCATGTTGCATTCAAGGATCAAAATATAGTTTCAGTGTATTGTTTCGGTCACCTAAGAAACGAAAACGTTTCGACGTGTTTCGAAAACATTTCGACCCGTTTCGAAAATATAATGAAAAAAATAAAAAAATTAATAATTATTTTTCTAAAACATTGATGGAAATATATCAAAGTATCTTGAAATACCTTGAAATATTCCAAAACAATAGTGTAAATGTATTAAAATATTATAAATCATCTAGAAACATTATGGAATACCTCAAAATATCAGAATTTTGATTCTATCACTGATTCATTTCGGTCTCCTTAAGAACGAAAACGTTTCGGACATTTCGATCATTTCAAAACGATATTTTGATTATTGGTTGCATTAGCCTTCTCTATTTTATCCTCTTAATATTTCAGCTCTAATTCCTTATGAAAAATGAGAACTTATGCGAATGATAAACGGGTTGTACTTAATTTTGCTCATATATTGTCATATCCGTATAGAGGCATTTTCTCACTTTCTTCCCTTTTTTTGGGAAAGGTAGCTGAGATATTTCAATTTGGACAACTAAGGTATTTCAATTTGGACAACTAAGGTACAATCATAAAACTAATTTACATGGGTTATATACTAGAGCTCCAAAAAAACTAAGCTACATCCAATAAGTTNACAATCATAAAACTGATTTACATGGGTTATATACTAGAGCTCCAAAAAAACTAAGCTACATCCAATAAGTTGAGATAAATGACCCCAAATTTTTGTTTAAAGTTGCTCAATCCAACATNTTGAGATAAATGACCCCAAATTTTTGTTTAAAGTTGCTCAATCCAACATTTTGACATTTATTGTGAGCATGGTGAATCTATGTGGGGGCCAGCCAGCCAAGGGGCACTGGCCCATTCTCAAAAAAAATTTCTTAATTTTATATATATTAATTTTGAGTATTTTTTTAGATATAGTTTATTGTGTCCACCATTAAAATTTGTCCTGATCTACAAATTTCTATATTCTTTTTGTTCTAAATTCAAAATTTGAAGGTGAAATGGCTTTCAATTGACCTAAAATCCAAGGGCAGATCTATGTGGGGGTCAAGGGGCGTTGGCGCACTATAAATTTTTTTTCTTAATTATATATATAAATTTAGCTATTTTTTTTTGGATATAATTTATTGTGTCCACCCTCAAATACTTTTGACTCTTAGGGGAGGCCAAATGTCCGTATGAACATCAAGAAATAACTAGACTAACAACTTGAAAAACAAGGAGAAAAAGAACTGCTGTGATGTTTGCCTAATTGAGAGACCTCACATTCTAACATAGAAGAAGAACTCCAACCAGTGATAACTTGACACAACTTTTGCAAAAAAGGGCAACCCAATTGAAAGTGTCACTGAAAAGGAGACACAGTAGCACTGAAGGCACCGTCTTCGTCTTGAAATCTTGCAAAACACAAGAAGATGAAGAGAACGTTCTTGAACACTGTATGGACATAATTAATGACTCAGCAATAACAATTTAAAGAGAAAATTAGGAACAAACAAATAAGAGGTTAATGGCATAGACTGAGTGGGGCAGAGATCGACTGTCCCATGTACCGATCGAAAGAAACCATCAACTAACACAATACGTGAGTTAGACGAAAAAAAAACTTAGGAGAATAGAGAAGAAATACCAAACACATGAGCACTAGATCCTGAATCAATGGTCTAAGATAACAAAGAAGATCGAGTAACTACACATGCAAAGTTGCCTCCATTAGCAAGACCGATAGTAGGAACAAATGAATTTGTAGAAAGTAAAGATAACTGCTACATGAGCTGATGAAGCAAAGAAGAAAAATCATCACAAGAATCAGTAGTAGATGCAACTAGATCATTGGTAGAAGTTTGATGTACTAGGGAACCTAAAATGTCATTAGAAGCTTGATTAGCATATGTTAATCTTCCATACTGATCCCAACAATAATTATTAGTGTATATCCCGTGTCACCACAATAAATACACTTCCACTTAGAGCGATGACTATTACCAGAACGACCACCACTTTCACTACGTCTTGTACATAAACCACCACGACTGGTATTATGGAGCAAATCACAACTACTACCATGAACACCACCATTACTGCTATTTAAAATCGCCATTGAGAAACCCACAAGTAATTATGCAATGCCAAACAAAAAAAAACTACAAATAACCCACTAATCCACCAAATGCCAACAATCACACTAACTACTCTGAACAAAAGGCTTTTAAAAATTGAATTCACAACCAAAGAGTAACAAATAATAGAACCGGACTTAGCAAAGTAGTGCGCCGAAGCTAACCCACCACAACCAAGAACCCACTATCTATTAGCCAACATAAGGCAAAACAACAATACAGTGGAGTAACCTCGAGCAACCCCGATCACTATTTAGGGCCGAAACCGTAGTCGAACACCAAAAACTCACAGAACTCACGTCAAAACAAGAAGAAAACCTCTAGAGATCACAAATCTCCCTTCTTAAATTCTAATCACACCAAGTGTCTTGAAATGCTCGCCTAGGCGAAGCGAAGGTATCTCGCCTTGAACATCTCAGGTGAATTGAACGTGACTAAACCGAGAAAAAAACGAGAAAAGCGAGTGTCTTTCGCTTAAGCGAAAGGCGAAAAAGCGAACACCTTAGTCATGCGAAGCGAAGTAATTTTTTATTTTTATTGTGGATTGTTGGTTTGTTTTATTTTTATTGTAGACCGTTCGATTTGGGCAATTGAAAAAAAAATTATAAGATGTCAATACACTCAATTACCCCCTTACCCCATAAATATAAAACTCAAAACCCTAATTTTCAGCATCAGACAATCGCTGCTGCTCTTTCCTCTCATTATCAGTGCTACTCCTTCCTCTCACGATCGGTGTTGCTGCTTCTTCCTCTCTGATTAGGCTATCACTGCTGCTGCTCCGTCCTCTCTGTTCAAGCGACCGCTGCTGCTGTGCTGTTCCTTGCTCGCTAGTCAGAGACGAAGACTGTTGCTGCTTCTCCTTCCTCGCTGGTCCAAGTTTGTCTTCTCTTTTTCTTCTCTCGTCTGTATCTCTTCTTACCCTCTGATTCTGTTTTTTTTTTTTTTTGCTTCTTTCTCTTTTTTTTTCCTGCTTCTTTCTATTTTTTTTTTCCTTCTTCTTTCTACTTTTTCTTCGTTTTCTTTAAACTGCTTCTTCTTTCTGGTTCTTTTTTTTTTCTGGTTCTTTTTCTGATGATTCTGATTTTCTGGTTTTGAATCTGTTTTTTAGCTAATNGGTATTATGGAGCAAATCACAACTACTACCATGAACACCACCATTACTGCTATTTAAAATCGCCATTGAGAAACCCACAAGTAATTATGCAATGCCAAACAAAAAAAAACTACAAATAACCCACTAATCCACCAAATGCCAACAATCACACTAACTACTCTGAACCAANAATTCTGATTTTAATACTGTTGATTTTTGAATAGCTGCTAATTTTAATTCTGATTTTTGATTTTAATGCTACTGATTCTGAATAGTTGATTTTGTTGATAGTGCTGTAATGCTAAATGTTGAATTTAATGCTACTGATTTTTTTCTGCTGCTTATTTTTTGCTCTAATGCGGATAGTGCTGTAATGTTGTCATGTTGCTGATTCTGAATAGCTGATAGTGTTGTAATGTCGTAATGCTGCTGATTCTGAATAGCTGATTTTGCTAATAGTGCTGTAATAGCTGATTTTGCTAATAGTGCTGTAATAGCTGATTTTTGATTTTAATGCTCTTGATTGTGGGATATTATTAGTATTTGTTTGAATTTAATTGTTTAAGCTATGACTGTTATTAAAATTTGAAATATTATTAGTGTTTTTTTTTAATTTAAATGTTTTTGGTTTACTTGTATTTAAATATTTTGTGTATATAAAATTAGAATTTAAATGTTTAGAAGTAATTAAACTAAAATANTATTTGTTTGAATTTAATTGTTTAAGCTATGACTGTTATTAAAATTTGAAATATTATTAGTGTTTTTTTTTAATTTAAATGTTTTTGGTTTACTTGTATTTAAATATTTAGTGTATATAAAATTAGAATTTAAATGTTTAGAAGTAATTAAACTAAAATATTTTTTTTTTAACTGTTCACTTCGCTTCGGTAAAGCGTTTCGCTTCGCTTCTCGCCTCTCGCTTCTCGCTTCTCGCCTAGGCGTTAGGAGCCTTGGTCGCTTCAATTCGCTTTACGCCTAAAATAACGNATTAAACTAAAATATTTTTTTTTTTTAACTGTTCACTTCGCTTCGGTAAAGCGTTTCGCTTCGCTTCTCGCCTCTCGCTTCTCGCTTCTCGCTTCTCGCCTAGGCGTTAGGAGCCTTGGTCGCTTCAATTCGCTTTACGCCTAAAATAACATTGATCACACCTGTCTACTTTGTATTGAAACTTCCCCAAAAGAAAACAGTAACAGAAGAATGATCCAACACAAAAGACAATTCTATGAGATTATATCTACAACTAAGTGTACTTTCCAATTAACTTTAATATAACCATTTGGTAAAAAATAGTATTATTTGGTAATGACTTTTTTCCTTTTCATTTAGAAATTATTTTGACCTTTTTTTTTTTTTTTTTGTGCCTAGCCTAGATTTTTATTGAATTTAGGTTTGTGATCTACACCATTTTATTAACATATATAGAATATAGGTTGTGCCCACCCTTAATCAAGTTTCTGGCTCCACCCCTGCCCACAATTGATCTCTACTTTTTTATAACTAATGATTGATTTGTTTCCATTGGATTGCAATGGTATTATTACGCTTACTTGAATTTTTTTATCGCTTCGTGATTTAAATATAAAATAAGAAAACTTGTTATGATAAGCCTCACATTCTGATAAGAATTGTAATGAATTTTCTTTTTATTGTTTTTTGTTCATATACATTATTCGTGTCAATTTTTGACCCTTTTCGATTTAATGAGGTTTTATTATAAAATATGACATAATTAATATAAATGTGTCACTTTACCTTTGTAAATTGGGAGAAAAAATTTAAAGTCAAGGCAACTCGAAACAAATCAATGTTCAAGACAAACCTACTCCAAATTGCAAAATATTTTAGCTACTATATCTATATATATGGGGTGGAGTTTTTTTCCTTCTTTGGGGGGGGTGGCGGGGGAATCAATCCTAGAAAGACAGTTCTATGAGATTATATCTAGACATCTCCAATAGGGTTTTGATTTGCTTTGTTTTTTTTACAAATCAAGTGTAATTATCGGTTAACTTTGTATAGCCATTTGGTAAAGAGTAATATTATTTGGTAATGATTTTTTTCCTTTTCATTCATAAATTATTTTGACCTTGGGCTTTGATTTTTTTTTTTTGTGGAAACCTTAGATTTTTGTCGAATTTAGATTTGTGATCTACACCATTTTATTAACATATATAGAACACAGGTTTGTGCCCACCCTTGAGCCAGTTTCTGGCTCCACCCCTGATTGTGAGAGTTCCATGAAAACTAGAGTGTTTTCTTCTCCACTTCAATTTCTTATAATCGTATCTAGTAATATTTTTATTTGGAACAAAGAATATCCACACTAAGACATCAAACTTGACCTTCCACACAATACCCATACTTTGCACTGGCCCAGTTGATATTTTATGAGCCCATAACCGTTCAACTTCACAAATTACATGAAAACTAGTCACGTGCAACAGTAAGGTAGGAAAATAAAGTGGGAAAAGTTAGTTAGCACATCAACTTAGGATAGCAAGTAACTTAATGAGAAAAGAAATATTTCTTTCATCCCAAATGGTGCGTGTACATCATTGTTCAACAGAAAATAAGCATCTATACCTCCACAATACGTCTCCGTAGGAATTTGGATGTAACTTCCTTAAACACCACCTTCACATCTAGTTCAGAAAACAGCTATAGAGGGAAAATAACAAAAAAAGAATTAATAGATTTGTCCCACAATCTGTCATTCATAAACATCAACAAGAATGGGCAGAAGATTAGCCGGAAAACATTCATCCATCAAATTGAAAAACCTGAAATATTTTTTTAAGCAATGTTAACTGGGTGCTATTCATCCAGCTGTCCAATGCGGGAATTGTAGAGAATTCCGATGTCAAATCACGACCATAGTCCCAACTTTTGCCTAGCAAGAACAAGAGTCTCAAACTCTAAAATTACGAGTACCAAACTTTAAAGCAAGCACAACCGAGACTTTGAAATGGCAACCCATTCCAAACATGTCAAAACTCATCAAACTAAGAACATTATGACACGAGAGGAAGGACACTTTTATTTTACCAAAACCGCGGAGTGAGTGCCAGTCTTGGTTATAGACAAGGGTATGTCTTCTCTGATCAGGCAATGGCTAGTGGAAGATATATCCAATCAAGCATTTGTTTTTGCCAAAGTGGTTAGCGTAATGGCAATTGGTAATTGTTCTTTAGATAAGAACCAGAATTTTATTACTAACAACAATAAAGGATAATGGCAGCTGGTAAATGTATTTCCACGTTTTCCATTGACAATATAAATGTAAGGTAGAACGGAGGAAAGGGGGATGGGGTCCCAGAAATTTGAAGCAACCTGGGACAGGACATGATAAAAGAATTCTAGTCTATCAAAGGGGAATCAGGAAGAAAATTCAGAACAAAATAGGAAAGCAGTGGGGGTTAAATAAAGGAAGCCTTAGCCTCCAACATCACGTTTCGGATCAGGATAGGCCATTATCATCCCCTGATGCAGCCAGTGGGTTTGGAGTACCAAAGAAATTTCTTTATAATCAATCTGGACGATATTTTGGCAGTCTTGTATTGCTGGTATTGGAAGGAAGCACAAATTCATGAGTTCACCAAGAGGGTAGTCCACTAGTCTATTGCCAAGAATCTGATTTGTAATTGAGTAATTTATCTAAGAAGCATCTTTATGAAGATGGTCTGCATCTCAATTAACGGTATGTCACTGACATTCTGATGCAGACTAGTACAAAAAGATGGAACTTTGCAGCCCTTTGTTCCAAGCTCGGTAACAAATTAGCAAGGGTAGCTCAACAACCAACAAAGAAAGTAAGAAAAGGGACAAACATTAGAGAAGAAACAAGCCATTATATGGCTTGGAAAAAATACAGCAAAGGCAGCTTCTGTTCTTCTCAAGATCAGAGACAAAAAGGTGCAGCCCTAATTGCCTCATGTGGCTTTTTATAGTATGCCGCACAAGTCTCAAATCCAAACCTTGGATCCTTTAAACCTCGGCTTTACAAATGTCCACACAAAAAAGGATACATAACATTCGTTAAAGTACATAGTCTAGGTGGCACTATTGGAATAAGTGTATGCCCTAAAGGGTCTATTAGTTTTTTAGTATTAATTACACACATATATGTTTGTGAAGAGAGAGGCAGTTCAATAGCAAAAAAAAAAAAAGAAGAGAGAGGCAGTTGCCTTGATTTCTCTCTAACGCTGTTGGCAATCACAAAAGGCCGCATAAACAAATATATATTGTACCTAGTCACATTTTATAGTTCCCCTAAAAGTAAAGGATGATAAATAATCTTGTTTAAAGCGATATCAACCAAATGAAGCGTCTATATATCACAAGAAAAAGGATAAAATACTTATTTTACTTAGATTATCTCAGATTCAAAATATAAGTAGAAAATGGGAACCTTGCTGATCCATTTCCAGTTAATAGGGGATACAAACTTGCATCAAACCAGAATCACATTTTAATAAACAATAGACACACACACAAAGTTGCATGTAATTTAGATCCCAAGGAACTAAATTTTACCAGGGGGGCGGATTTCCGTGAAACCGGCTTTATGTGAACATCACCTTCATCAATTTCGCCATCCAAAACCACTTCCTCATCCTCGTCTTCATCCTCAAACAAGTCTGGTGTTGTTTCAGAAACTTCGTCCTTGCTGACATAACCTGTCTCAGAAAGAATACTCAAAACTTCCTCCTCCAATGATGACAGTGCCTTTCTTCTTGGTATTTTCTCCTTAATTTGTAGCACTTTCACTAATTCATCACCAGCAATTTCCTGAAAATGGTAGTTAATTTATATCATCAATCACTACTATTCATGGCTGAAGAGACACTGACCAATACCAAATGAAGTTCATTAAAAGAGGACATCAAAAAATGACAATTATGAAGAAGAAACTTTGAAACAAAGACGGTAACCCAGAAAGGGGTTTGAAATCGAGAACATGGGATATAACAAATTATATCAGAAAAATGCACAAAACGGTAGCTCATAAGTGTGATATTATATTTTTTTGGCGTAGAACCTCCCCCAAAATGCATTTCAGTCCAGCAGCTAAGGCATAGTTTAGAAAAACAGAACACCTCGGTTTATGGTATGAGACAATGTAAAGCCTGTTTAGGACTGAAATTTGTATCACCTTTACACCCCTGCACACAACAATATATGAGGACAGATCATATTGGCTTTCATGTATGAATGAGACAGCACTTTATTACTTGCATGACTAGGATATACAATATAACACTTTGCGACTTGTCCAATAGCCATATAAATATCCATTAATATTAAACAAAGCTTTTAAACATCGATGTTGTCCCTCATAAAAAATGTAAAGGATGTTTCCAGAAAGTTGATAATGAGCACCATGCACACTGATATCATCCTAAAATGTTTGCTTCTCTAAACTATTGATATTATGGACTTGTTTCGAAAACTAGTAAGATAAAGCAATTGTGGATTTTTCTTCTTTCCATTGTTTTTAGCTTTCTCTGTTCCTTCTTTCCCTTATAACTCACATTCGGGACACCATGTGATTTTTTCATAGAACTCCAGAAAAACTCCAAATGCTTTGCTATTTTTGAAATTTAGTTTTAGGGTTTAGAATTGAGAACAATATATTAACTCATAATAGGTTGCAAATTATAATTATGTCCCTAATTAAAATATCATAACATTCTATACTCCTCCTCAAGTTGGAGCATAGATATCTTTCATGTCCAACTTGTACATCTGAGTGAAAATTTTCACTACTAAGCCCCTTAGTAGAAACATCAACTAATTGCTCCTTGCACGTCACAACGGGCATACAAATCAACCTATCATTTAGCTTCTCTTTGATGAAGTGTCAGTCATTCTCAATGTGTTTTATTCTATCTTACTAAACTGTGTTGTGAGTAATATTTATGATAGCCTTATTATCACAATACAACCGCATAGGTTCACCATTATAGACACCCAAGTCTTCTATTAAGGTTTTTAGTCACATAAGCTCACAAATACCATGAGTCATACCACTATATTCTACCTTTGCCACTGCAACAAATTTAGTCACTACTACTTGCTACTTACTCTACCAAATAACTAGATTTCCTCCTACAAAGGTTCAATAACCCATAGTAGACCTCCTATCATCAATTGAGTCGGCCTAATCGGTTTCTGTGAAAGCTTCTAACTTCAAGTGCTCTTGTTTTGAGAACAATATTCCTTGCCGTGGAGGCAAATTGAGTCTCCCAATAAGCCTCTGATATCTTTCCTTATCAACTTGATTACTTTCATCATTTCTCAGTTTTCAGCTTGTCTCAATGGCGAGTTCGTAGGTCTACAACCTAGCATACTAGTTTCCTTCAGAAGATCAAGGATATACTTCCTCTATGAGATAAAGATGTCTCTATCTAATCTAGCCACTTTAATCTCTAACAAATAGCGTAAATGCCAAAAGTCCTTCATTTCATATTCTTTAGCAAGGTAGACTTTCAGTTTGGTCACTTCCTCCACTTCGTCACTTGCGAGTATTATGTCACCAACAGATACTATAAGAACTGAGATCTTACCACTCCCTTGTTTGATAAATATCTTGTAATTTGCATGACTTGCTTATACATAAACTTGACCATTGTCTTATGGAATCTATCGAACTCAGCTCTAGGAGACTATTTTAATCCATAAAGAAATTTTTTTAACTTAATAATTTTCCCTCTTGTAACTGGAAAAGAGAAGCCTGAAGGAATATCCATGTACAATTCCTCCTACAAGGCTCTATGAACCGAGCCTTTAAATACTCGACAGAGCCCTCACGAAGATATTTCAAGTGTAGATCCAATGATAACTAACAAGTTACTTCCCAAGAGGAAATGAAGTGAGATCTCAAGTTTGATTCTCATGAAGAAATTTCATTTCCTCATCTATATAACTAGTTTCCATCCATGAGATACCAAAGCCTTTGTCAAGGAATTAAAAACAACCACAAATGGTAAGGTAGATGCAAAACAATGGAATGATGAGAAAAACTTATGCAAGGAAACAAAAATTAGACATGAGATGCCTAGTACAATTATGAGTACCTTTCCTTAGAACAATAGGCAAATCAAAAAAGGATGAACTAACTAATGGCTCAGAAGGCAATACCTCAGTAGAATTAGGTGATAGTTGTGGAGCTGGAGCACATGGAACAATATCTCTGTCCTTGGAACAACGATAAATTTGCAAAGGAGGCATGATAGTCGAGGAAGAAGATACATAGTCTGGTACAATAGGCAACAAGGGCTCCCCTGACCGGGAAAAATTAAATCTGATGACAGTGTATGTTCTGATGCAAAAAAGAAAGGCGATGACTCAAATAAAGTAACATTAGCACTGACATAGTATCGACAAGACAAGGTCATAGCACCGATAATCATTCTGTGAACAAGAATATCCCAAAAAGACACTTCACTAAGCAAAACAAAAAATTATCCCAACCCGAACTAAGAAGATGAACAAATTCAATGCAACCAACGACACGAGGAGAGAGTCCAAATGACAGTCTATTAGGATAAAGTAATGAGGAAGGAGATATGTTGTCCAAAATAGGGGAAGACAAGCGATTAATAAAATAAACTGAAGTAAGGACAGCATCAACCCAATATGATTTTGACACATGCATATTAAACATTAAGGTTCGGGTAACATCCAATAAATGACAATGTTTATGTTCGACAATGTCATTTTGTTGGGAGGTATGTAGATATTTCGTTTGATGGATAAGGCCACGGTCAGCACAAAATTTTTTTATAAATGATTAAATATACTCAAGGGCATTATCAGACCGAAAAACCTTAATACGGGTATCAAACTGAAGCACAATTTTATTACAAAATGTGGAAAAAGCCTTAGGCAATTCAGATCGGTCTTTCATAAGACCAACTTATACGAGAGAAATTAACAACAAAGATGACAAAATACTAAAAATCATAAATATTTTTGACTCTTGTAGGACCTCAAATATCTGTATGAACAAGATGAAACAGATTAAGCTAACGGTTGGAAGAACTATGAGGAAAAGAGCTATGGTGATGCGTACCTAATTTTGACTCTTGACAAGCCTTACATTCTAACACAAAAGAAGAGCTCCAACCAAGAATAATTTGACGCAACTTATTCAAGGAGGGATAACCCCGTTGAAAGTGTCATTTAAAAGGAGACACAGTAGCACTCAAGGTAGGAACAAACTCATCAAGATCTAAGTAGTAAAATTCATTGCGCTCATGCCCCACACCAATCACCTTCATTTTGAGGTCCTAAAAAACACAAGAAGTAGAGAATGCCCCTGAACACTTTAAGGACTTAGTTAACTAACTCACAGATAACAAATTAAAAGAAAAATTAAAAACAAACAAGTCAGACATTAAAGGCATGGACTGAGTAGGATGGAGATCGTCAGTTCATGTATTGGTAGAAAGGAACCATCAACCAACATAATACGCNAACTCACAGATAACAAATTAAAAGAAAAATTAAAAACAAACAAGTCAGACATTAAAGACATGGACTGAGTAGGATGGAGATCGTCAGTTCATGTATTGGTAGAAAGGAACCATCAACCAACATAATACGTAAGCTACACAAACGAAAATTATAAAATAGAGAAGAATTACCAAACATATGAGCACTAAATCCTAAATCAATGATCCAAGATGACAAAGAAAATTGACCAAAATTGACCAACCATACATGCAGGGCAACCACCATTAGTAAGGCCGGTAGAAAGTGAAGATATCTGTTAGATAGGCTGACGAATCTAAGATAAAAGATCACTATAAGAGTCAATAATAAGAGCAACTGGACCATTTGTAAAAGTCAAATGACTCAAAAAGTACCATTAGAAGCCCGATGAGTATACATTGATATCTGTTAGATGGGCTGACAAAGCTGAGATAAAAGATCACTATAAGAATCAGTAGTAGGAGCAACTGGACCATTGGTAAAAGTCAAATGTACTCAAAAAGTACCATTAGAAGCCCGATGAGTATACGTTGATCACTCATACTTATCCCAACAATAATTCTCATTATGTCCTGCACAATAAGTATACTTCCACCTAGAACAATGACCACGACCACTATTCAAAGACGCCATAAGAAATAAAAATACAAACAATTATTTTGATGTAAGAAACTATAGGACCTATAAACCACCAAGTAACAGACCAACAAGTACGTCAAACCAAAGTTAGTGAAAGAGAAACAGAACACACTGGGAGCAGTAGCACGTCACAGAACAAAATCAAAAAGCTCACAAAGCCAAAACTCAGCTAATCAAGTAAATCAACAACATAACAATTTAGGCGAAGAAACCATCACCATAGTGCTCAGCCTTGAAGATTGGAGAAACAAAACAATCAGTTTGTGAACAAAATCTACAACCAAAACAACAGCAAGGTACACAATCAAAGCCAAAATCACCCAAAACCACATCACTTGTGCACAAACAAGGCTATCCACTCAACCAAAACCACCACATTCATCTTAGTTTAGCAAAAAAAAAAAAACTAATACAATAACAACAGAAGTAGAATCAGTTAGAAAGGCATCACCCATGGATAAAAACCAGATTGTCGACTCATCAAAACCACCAAAATTTCTTCATAAATTAACTCAAATGCCTTGAATTACCCAACTGAGAACATAGGCCCCTTAGACACACCCTATAATACTAGTTTGAAGTAACAAAATTGAAGAAAAAAAATATCAAGAGAAGACCTAATCAAAAAACACATCAAGCAAAAATTGCTCAAACACCCTAGTAACAAATTAACTGTAGCACAAACTGATTGATCACTACACGAGCAATCCACAACAAACTTGGGGTCAAAAAATCAAAAGAACCTGAAGTCTAAATAGCAACCCAGGGGAATTTGGTCACTCTCAATAACTTTTTAGCCAAAAAACAAATACTGCAAAAATTCACGCAAAACTAACTAAGCTACCAAAAAAAATATATATTTTATATATAGCATTATATAATTTCTTGTAAATATAGTGATAATTATATACAATTCATAAAAGATTCAGTAATTTATGATAAGTAAATCTAATGTCTAGTCATTTTTGTGAATTTTTAGACTAAAACATCCTCATAATAGTCAATAATCATCAATTTTTTGTGTAGACAATGTGTACCTAACATATAATTTAAATAATTGATTTCATTTTCTCAGTTCTTTTTTTTTTTTAAATTTTATGCATCTTTTGTTTTTATTATTAAGGTAAAGACATTGGTGGTCCCACAGAATTAAATTGTACAAAGAATGTAATGCATATGGATTAACACTTGCATACAGATGAAAACAAATAAAAAGGAATTCATTAAATAATGAAATGGAAACTGTAGCAAAGAATAGTACTGTCAGCTACAAGAGAAGAGAAAAATACATACTTCAACATGCATGTACAGCTCAGGAGGAGGTAATTTAATTGCATCAAGCATTTTTGGTTTCCCACACTTCTTCACCAGAGCTTCCACCTCATTGCAAATGATCCGTACAGCATCCTAAACTTCAAACATGCAAAAGTTTAATATCGCAAACAAGGATCAAAATTTCGTTTCGAAGTACCGTTTCGGTCAACTCAAAAATAGAAACGTTTCGGAAACATTTCGGAAACGCAATGGAAACGCAGAAAAAATATGGAAACGCATAGAAACACAAATGCAATCCATTAATTTATAAAGATATGCTAAATAATTTATTAATTCAACATATTTATTAGGTTAACATCAATTTATACAAGAATAAATTTAAATTTGAGGGAAAAAAAGGCTTGACTTGAGGCGAAAGTCACTTAAATTAGTTTCAAACACTTAATTTTTATGAAATAAACACATTTTTACATAATATTAAGGTCTTATAATACACATGAAATGCTAATGAGTACAAACTTACATGGTTACATCCATTCCCCTGTGGAGTGTCGAGCAGGCTCATACATCGGTGTAGGCTCTGGGTAGCTACTTAGAGAAACTCCATATGTGACATAAATATGATGACAATAGTTACTCCAAATCATATTATTACGGTAATATAATCCAATTAATAATACTATTTTATTATAATACTAATAATGAAGGGTATCAAATTAAATTAATGATACTTATGTATACTTAAAAATTAAATGTAATTGCAGTGGGTATTAAATGTAATTACAGTAGGTATTAAATATAATTACATTAGGGTATTAAATGTAATTGTTAATACTTATAAAAAAAAAAAAAAGCAAAAAACTTGCACAGCAGTGAGGTATTAAATATAATTACAGTATGTATTAAATATAATTATAATGGGTATTAAATATAATTATAGTAGGGTATTAAGTGTAATTATTTATTCTTATAACAAAAAAATTATAAAAGACAGAAGAGCAGTGGGAATTAAATGTAATTATAGTGGGATATTAAATATAATTATAGTGAGTATTAAATGTAATTACAGTGGGTATTAAATGTAATTATAATGGGGTATTAAATGTAATTATTCATAATGAACCGAATATATCACTGTTTTGTCGAAACGGTTCGAAACAATGCCGTTTCGACCTAAACGGTCCGAAACAGTACCGTTTCGACCGAAACACTGGAATTTTGTGATTCAACTACTGTTTCGTTTCGGAGTGTTGAAATTCTGAAACGTTTCGGACGTGTCGACACGACATTTTGATCCTTGATCGCAAATACTTTTTCTGCTAGAGCAGAATGCTTTTACATGGCCCTTTAAAGTGTGGATCGTGATCTTATAATCTACAAAATGACCAAGCAGGACGAAGTAAACAGAAGGAGTAAAAAAAATTTCCAAACTGAAGTGGAACAGTCTGAGCACAAACCATATATTAATTTACACACTAGTATTTTAATAACGTAAGCAGGGATTCCCCAGTTGTGATGGATTGAGTACTTGTTTAAAAACAAAAAAATTGGCATCATTGCTCGTGAATTGAGTATTAGTTTTGGAAGGTCTTTTGGCAGGCAATTTTTTGGTCTTCCTCTACCTCAGACAAAAGAACTTGAGTTTTGAAAGCAGTTGAATTTCTTCTTCCACATATTAGTCCCACCTTCAAAGGAAGTTCTGCTAGTTTACCTCCTGCCAAGTGTCCATTGACAGTCAAAGCTCCCAAAACATGAAAATGGAGTCATAACAATAAACTGAATTATTTTTTTTCCCGGTTCTGTGAAATGGTTGCAATTAATCCAAGAAATTTACGCTCCTTGCCCTCAGTCCTATTAGGAGCCTTAGTATCACTCTTGACGATTAAGAGTTTACAATTTGAAATGGTGGAAGATAAACCAAAATTTGAATGTTTGATTTTTCTTTTATTACTTCATGGGGATACCTAGTCCAGCTTCTCTGCTTCTTCTAATGTTAGTCCTTGGTTTTCAAACATGATCCTTGAGAAAGATCATCAGAGGATGTCAAACTTTTACTGCATCCACGCTAGCATCAAAAATGACTTTGACCAATTCTACCAGCCCATCATGAACTCACAAGCAAGCGTATTACCGATGGGCTCCAATTAGAATAGGCAGACAATAAGATATAAGAGAGAAACTGCACCGAAGAGACTCCCATTGCCACCTTCTAGTATGTCATTGGATGATAGTATAGATAGTTTTGTTCTAGAAGTTATGATCAACATAAAAGAAAGGCAAGTAGGAGTGGAAGTACTTTGGCTGTTGAGAAGATATTCAACTTGAAGGGAAGTGATTAATTGTGCAGATTACATGCACAGATTTCAGGGATGATCTACACCACAAGACAGTTTAAAACCGTCGTATCGGCTATTGACTCACAGCGCACTGAGAGACATTGGCATTGGCAATACAGAACCAAGTGATCCACACAGAACCTTCCGTCTTCTGAGCCATATGAAACTCAACACTTTCCATTTCAGTGCCACTTCATGTTCCTTGTAAACCATAAACCTCACTCAACTTTTGGTTGACTCGGAGACTGGTTAACTTGGTTGAGTCATTGAAATCATCGCCATCAACCTGCAACATATCGCTCGATACCATTCCACTAAACCGCAATATAGCTTGAATCTCTTGCCATGTCCAACTTCTTCAACTTATCAGTTTGTGTGTATCATCTGACACCATTCCGTTATCATTCTACGACACAACGACCTGATACGTTTCAATAACCTCAATGTCAATGGTTAATACCATGACCTTGAACCATACACCACAAGCTTACCATTTCACCTAGCAAAGAACCCGTATTAGGTGAGCTCTTATTCATTTGCTGCCAATAATTCTCTTTCGGAGCCGCCACATTATTATTTGTTGACAATAAATTTACTACAACAAGAAAAGACATGGAGAGATTTTTACTACCAATTAAAAGCACATGAAAAGAAAAATGTGTAAATAGAGTGAGTGATGGATGGTGAGACTCAATCAAGAGGCCCTTGATTGATTTATGGTCGTGAGGGAAGGTGAGGCTACGTTTCTTAAAGTCGTGGATTGTGCGGGTCGAACCAAAGATATGTACCATATTGGTACTTGAATGAAAGAAATGATTGAAGACGTTGGACTGAAAAAGTGAGTCAAGCAATTTTCGATAATGCTATGCATTGTTCAGGTGCAGTATTTCTCATTGGAGGATTATATCCTAATATTGGTTGGATATCATTTATGACTCAAACACTCAACCTTCCCTTGCNTGGATATCATTTATGACTGAAACACTCAACCTTCCCTTGCAAAATATTTGTGCTGCACAGAATTATGACAGGAGTGTTGCTGGCTCACGGATATTGTGATGCTTTACTANGCAAAATATTTGTGCTGCACAGAATTATGACAGGAGTGTTGCTGGCTCACGGATATTACAGATGATGCTTTACTAAAATTTCATCAATAAATCACTCCATGAGATTAGTAATCTTCCATTAATTTGCCCCTTTGAAGTTCGTTTGGCTTGCAACTACATGTTTTGCTCCAATGCTACTAACTCTTAAAAAAACTAAGCTGATAAAAGGTAGTCTTCGAGCCATAATTACTAGTTAAGAGTGGAACTCATATCAAGAGGATGTTGTGGGGAAAGCAAAATATCTTAAAGAGAAGGTGTTATATAACATTAGTGGAACTCCATCAATTACACAATGTTGTTTACGACTCTCATATATGATATGCTGAGGGTTTGATATAGATAAGTCTAGTCTTCACTCAGTCCATGACATGTGGGATAAAATGATAGAGAAAGTGAGGGTCATATAGGCATAATGAAAATAGACTTGAGGAGTCATCTACAGTTCATGAAGTGGTGTATAAAATTCTTGTTGATCATTGGAATAAAATTAACACTCCATTCCATTGCTTGGTTATTATCTGAATTTGTAGCGATCATGGGCTTCACGAGGGTTGTAATCGAGTTCACCTGTGTAAATATGTAAAAGTTGCTCAAGAATGAATGAAATACAAGTAAAAAAATTTCCAGAACATAATAAAGGCAAAGTTGATCATTCAATTGAATGATCAAGAGCTAGGATCAACCAACAACGCAACCACGAAACCCAATGTGTAGCCAAACTATCCAACAGACAAGAAACCCTAACAAATTCACCCAAAGAAGCATGGGTCATCCAAAGCTACACCCAAGAGGTCTAGCCAAAGTCTTTAGGTCTGAATAGAGGCAGCAAAAAAGGCAGATTGCGTGAAAGTAGCTAATCGAAAAATTGGAACTAATTTTCCCAAAAACGTCATTCAAAAATAGAAAAACATATTCAAACAATTAATCAAAAATCACCATAAATACCAACCTCAAAATTTCGGTCTTAAACATGGTGCTGCTTGCCGGAAAAATTTAGGACTGAACGAAGGGGTGGGGCTACCCCTAGCTTGTCTAAAATGACTGAGTTCTCTGCCTTCATTAACTCCATCGGTTTGCAGGACTGTGGATTTAAGGGCACAACTTTCACTTGGTGTAACAAACATCATGGTAGAACTAGAAAGTGGCAACATTTGGACAGGGCCCTTGTCAATGTTGAGTGGGGACAAAGATTTGCCAGTACTCAAGTGGAGCATGCTGCTAAAGGTTCATCTAATCATTGCCCGTTGATTCTAAAATTTTCAGAAGTGGCTGATCCAAGAAGACTATCCTACCTTAAATTCCAAGATATGTGGACTGATCATGCAAGTTTCCTGCAGCTGGTGGAATCTCATTGGCCTGGCTCTTACTCAGATAATCCAATTGAATATGTGTTCTTGCAGCTGAAATTTATGAAATGGCATTTGAAAAGGTGGAATAGAGATACCTTTGGTAATCTCTTTGAGACTATTAAAGTAAAGGAAAATAATCCATTGCAAGCTGAGATAGAGCTAGAGAGAAACAACTCTGTAGCTAACCACTCAACTTTGGACTTAGCAAATAAGGAGCTGGAGGAGGTGTTAAGGATGGAAGAAACCTACTGGAGGCAGAAAGCAAACATGTAATGGTCAAAGGAGGGGGAGAGGAACACCAAACTATATCATGCAATCGCCAAGGGCAAGACTACCAGAAATCAAATTTTGAGAATTAAGAATCCAGAAGGTGACTGGATTGAAGATGAGAAAGACAAAGCTGACTATGCAGTTAACTTTTCCTCGCTGCTTTATAAATCAGAGACTCACTCATTGGAACAGGAGCTCTTTTCAGTTATACTTACTTTGGTCACTATGGAGAACAATGTATGATTAACTGCTCCTACTAGCTTGGAGGAACTGAAAGATATTATTTTCTCAATGTCTGTTCAAAGTGCACCGGGACCTGATGGCTTTTATGGTAAATTCATTATTTGGCTTGATCTTTTAGCTGCTTTGAACTATTTTCTACAAGGTGGTATAGTACCTAGATCAGTGAATGCCACCTTGTTTTCCCTAATCCCTAAGAAAGAAAGCCCTACTTCTTTCTCAGATTTCAGACCTATTAGCTTGTGCAACTTTTTGTACAAAATCTTAACTAAAATGCTGGCCAAGAGACTAAGTGTTGTGCTTCCCAAGCTAATCTCAATGGAGCAACATGGCTTTGTTAAAGGCAGAAATATTGGGGNAATGCTGGCCAAGAGACTAAGTGTTGTGCTTCCCAAGCTAATCTCAATGGAGCAACATGGCTTTGTTAAAGGCAGAAAAACACCATTGCTGTTGCACAATTCAGGGTTAATGAACTTGATAGGAAAGTTGAAGCTGGGAAATGTGATTCTTAAATTAGACATGATGAAAGCTTTTGATAGAACGGGGTGGGATTTTCTCTAGAAAGTTTTGTGCAGCTTTGGTTTTTCTGAAGACTTCATATCTATCATTTCTAATTGCCTAAATAATCAGAACATCTCAGTGTCTGTCAATGGTGTTAGACAGGGTTTTTTTCCCCACTTGTAGAGGTTTAAGACAAGCAGACCCATTGTCTCCTAGTCTGTTCATATTGGATGAGGAGGTATTAAGTTGAGGGCTCACACATTGTTGTCACCAAGGATTCATTAAAGGCTTTCACACTGGGAAGGGTGCTGCCTTGTTTAGTCACCTGCTTTTTGCAGATGACACTCATCTTTTTGAGAGGAAACAAGAGCTCTGTGTGTAATCTATTGGAGTTTGTGAGAAGGTATGAAAACTCATCAGGTCAGAAAGTCAATAAGCAGAAATCCTCATTATATTGTTCGTCTAAGATTGCTCCTGCAAGACGGAATGTGTTGTCCCATGTTGCTGGCATTCCAGTCAAGCCCTGCCCATTTAATTACTTGGGATGTCCTATAATCAAAGGGTAGAGTAAAATTGATCTATTTTGAGGACTTGTTGAAAAAATTCCAAGCTAGAGTGGAAGGTTGGCATGCTAAATGGCTTTCCAATATGGGTAGAGTGGTCCTTATTCAATCAGTTCTTAACTCCATCCAGTGCATCTGCTAGCAACCTTAAATCTGCCTAAGGGAATTATTGCTAAGCTCAATTCTATTATGGATTCTTTCCTATGGTCCAGTTCAAGCAATGGTCGCAACAGGCATTGGTGTTCCTGGGATGACATTACTATGCCAAAGGAGGAAGGTGGCCTAGGAATTAGGAAGTTCTCTGATGTTCAGAAAGCGTTCAGAATGAAACAAGTATAGGGTTTTCTGCAAGGTTCTTCACTGTGGTCCTCTTTCTTCTCTTCCAAATTTTTCAAAAATCAACATCCACTTAAATATTCTATCAACAGTCACTCAAAAATTTGAGTCCGAGAGGAGTATGCTCAGTTCCTGTCCTAGCAACAAGTTGTTCCATCACCCTCCACTGCTACTTTTGCCCAGTCAGGTACTGCTTCCACATGTTTGTTGCCCTTCACTTGTAGTCCCTGGATCATAGACTTTGGTGCTTCTGACCACATGACTGGTGCGTCTGACGTATTTTCTACTTATCAGTCTACTACTTCTACACCTAGTGTTACTCTTGCTAATGGTTCTTGTTCTAAAGTTTCAAGTTTTGGGACTACTAACTTGAGTCCTTATATGTCTCTATCTTCCGTGTTATCTATTCCACAGTTTCCTTTTAGTTTACTTTCCATTAGCAAGATTATCTGTTCTCTCAATTGTTCTGTAACCTTTTATCCCTCTTATTGTGTCTTTCATGATCTCAAGACGAAGAGGAAGATTGGTACAGGGCATGAAGCTAATGGCCTATATTACCTAAACTTTGATTCACCTACCCGAGCTTTACAAAACTCGTTGTCTCCTTTTCAATGGCACTGTCGTCTAGGTCATCCCGCTCTCTAGAATTTAAAGCGTCAAGTTCCCAGTTTTAGTTATGTGTCGTGTTTGTCCTGTGAAGCTTGTCAACTTAGTAAACATCACCGTGTGTCATTTCAGTCTAGAGTTATTAATCGTGTGTCTCGTCTATTTGAATTAGTCCATTCTGATATATGGGGTCCAATAAAAAATATTTTATCTAATAAATATCCTTATTTTGTAATATTTGTGGATAACTATTCTCGTGTGACTTAGTTGTTGTTTATGAAAGTTCAGTTTGAATTATTCTCTATATTTGAAATTTTTCGTAAGGAAATAAAAATTCAGTTTGGTTGTCGTATACGTACTTTACGTTCTGATAATACTCGGAAATATGAATCTGATCCTTTTTCAACTTATCTAAATAAAACTGGCATTATTCATCAGACTTCTTGTACTTATACCTCTCTATAAAATAATATTGTTGAACGCAAAAACCGTCATTTGTTAAAAGTCACCCGTGCTCTGTTATTTCACATGAATATTCTCCGATATTTTTGGAGTGATGTTGTTCTTACTTCTTGTCATCTTATTAATCGTATGTCATCCTCTATGTTGAATAGGCAAAGTCCATATTCTGTCCTTTTTCCTGGTAAGACCTTATTTTTCCTGACTCTTAAGATTTTTTGATGTGACTGTTGTGTTCACAATTTGGGTCCTAGATTTGACAAACTTAACCCTCGAGCTACTAAATGTGTATTTCTTGGTTACTCCCGCACACAGAAGGGGTATCGTTACTACAGTCCTTCTCTACACCGATACTTTACTAGTACTGATGTCACATTTGCCGAATTTGTTCCTTACTTTCCAACACCTTCTCAGCCTTTGGATCTGGACTTTGGATCATCTCCAGTACCACCATCTACTTCAGATATTCCGCTACCCACTGTGTTACCATCTACTTTACCTCTCCGTCTCTACTCTCACCGTCCTCGCCCATCCACTGAAGTGCCCGTACCGTCTTCGTTGCCGCCTTCTAATTCTGGTACATTAGATANGTCCTAGATTTGACAAACTTAACCCTCGAGCTACTAAATGTGTATTTCTTGGTTACTCCCGCACACAGAAGGGGTATCGTTACTACAGTCCTTCTCTACACCGATACTTTACTAGTACTGATGTCACATTTGCCGAATTTGTTCCTTACTTTCCAACACCTTCTCAGCCTTTGGATCTGGACTTTGGATCATCTCCAGTACCACCATCTACTTCAGATATTCCGCTACCCACTGTGTTACCATCTACTTTACCTCTCCGTGTCTACTCTCACCGTCCTCGCCCATCCACTGAAGTGCCCGTACCGTCTTCCTTGCCGCCTTCTAATTCTGGTACATTAGATAAATTAAGACTCTTTACCTATTGCTCTTCACAAAGGTACTCGTTCGTGTGTTACTAGTCATCCTATTTCTCATTTTGTTTCATATGATGACTTGTCTCTTGTCTTCTCCTATTTTACTTCACAATTATCAGTTATATCTATTCCTAAACATTTACAGGATGTCTTATCTAATCTAGGTTGAAGGAAAGTTATGGAGAAGGAGATAGATGTTTTACATCATAATGGGACTTGGAATCTCGTTCCTTTACTCCCTGGTAAACAAACTGTTGGGTGTCGTTGGGTGTATACTGTTAAATTTCTTCCAGATGGCTTGGTGGAGCGTCTCAAAGCTCGGCCTATTGCGAAGGGCTTTACTCAGACTTATGGTGTTGATTATGAGAAGTCTTTTTCTCCTGTTGCCAAAATTTCCTCTATTCCTATCTTGATCTCTTTAGCTACTAATCTTGATTGGCCCTTGTTTCAGTTAGATGTCAAGAATGCNGGTTGAAGGAAAGTTATGGAGAAGGAGATAGATGTTTTACATCATAATGGGACTTGGAATCTCGTTCCTTTACTCCCTGGTAAACAAACTGTTGGGTGTCGTTGGGTGTATACTGTTAAATTTCTTCCAGATGGCTTGGTGGAGCGTCTCAAAACTCGGCCTGTTGCGAAGGGCTTTACTCAGACTTATGGTGTTGATTATGAGAAGACTTTTTCTCCTGTTGCCAAAATTTTCTCTATTCCTATCTTGATCTCTTTAGCTACTAATCTTGATTGGCCCTTGTTTCAGTTAGATGTCAAGAATGCCTTCCCACATGGTGACTTGGTTGAAGAGGTATATATGGAGCAACCACCTGGGTTTATTGCTCAGGAGGAGTATGGTAAGAGTATATGTCGATTAAAGAAATCTTAATATGATTTGAAGTAGTCACCGAGGGCATAGTTTAATAAGTTTTCAGATGCAGTTTTAGAATTTGGCCTTCTTCAATGTCAGACAGATCATTCTGTGTTTCATAGATAGACAGAAGTTGGATATGTCCTATTGGTGGTCTATATAGATGATATTGTGATTACTGAAAATGATTCTGAGGGATTGCCAAGTTAAAATTATTCTTACAGGATCGATTTCATACTAAGAATTTGAAAAAACTCAAATATTTCTTGGGCATTGAGGTGGCTCGATCTAAACAGGGTATTTGTTTATCCCAAAGGAAATATGTACTTGACATGCTTGAGGAAGCAGGTTTGCTGGGTGACAGACAGATTAATGTTCCTATGGATCCGAATCAGAAATTATTGATGGATAATGGTGTATTGTTTAAGAATCCAGGTCGATATCGTAGATTGGTTAGGAAGCTTAATTATCTCACTATTACTCGACCGGATATTTCCTATGCAGTTAGTATAGTAAGTCAATTCATGGGATGTCCTAGAGTACCACATTGGGAGGCAGTTACTCATATTCTGCGATATCTAAAACGAGTTCTTGGACTTGGACTGTTATATCGAGTTAATGGACACCTTAGAGTGGAAGGTTTCTCAGATACTGATTGGGCTGGCTCTCCTTCTGATCGGAGATCAACCACTGGTTATTGTACTTTCTTAGGAGGTAATGTTGTCTCGTGAAAAAATAAGAAACAACCCGTGGTAGCAAGATCCAGTACTGAGGCTGAGTATAGGGCAATGACACATACGACGAGTGAATTGACTTGGCTACTACACTTCCTTCAAGAAATTAGATTTCCAATTTAACTTTCTTTACCGTTGTTCTGTGACAACCAGGCAGCTATCCATATCGCTGTCAATCTTGTATTTCACGAGAGAACCAAGCATATTGAGGTTGATTGTCACTTTATTCGGGACAAGATAGTTGCCGGAAAAATTATNGAGAACCAAGCATATTGAGGTTGATTGTCACTTTATTCGGGACAAGATAGTTGCTGGAAAAATTACAACTTTATTTGTGAAATCTGAAGATCAGCTTGCAGATATGCTTACCAAAGTATTGAGTCGTACAAGTCTTACAACTATTTGTTCCAAGCTTGGATTATGTGATATATATAGTCCAGCTTGAGGGGGAGTGTTAAGAATAGTAGGGTAGTATGTGTAAATTATTAAAAGTAAGAGGGTGTATGTGTAATTCTTATTAGTGTAGGTTAACTATAAATACAAGTAATATATGAGAGCTAGATTAAGTTTTAACCTCTCTCTGTTTTTCTCCCAAATATTGTCTCTAATATTATGTTAATCCTCCAAACTTAACACCTCCAAACTAGTTCTAGCTGTATCAGAGACATTCTGCTCATGTTCCTCTAAGCAATTCTTAGGCATTTGAGCATCTTGCAATGTTCCTGATCTCACATTTTCCCCAACAGAATTAACTTCAAATTCCTCATTCCTGTTAATTCCCTCCTCTTGAGTCCTCTCAATATGATGCAAGACATTTGTTAATTCCACATCCTCACCTACACCATTCAAGGTAGTCACATCAACATCCACCTGTTGGACCATCCCCAAACCACTTTGTGCTTGTACATTCCCCTCCAACACACCGTTCAACTCCACACCGTCACCCACCTCATTTAAAACAACAAAAGTATTAACCATTTTCGAACCTTGAACCACAGACCTCCTTGGCTTATCCTTCTACACATCATTAGCCACAGCTTTTCCCTTACCATTCTGCCAACCTTCATCATGGCCAATGTCATTCACAGGAGCAAAAACCTTCTAAGAAGTACCGCCACTCTCCTCCTTCTTTCGATAGAGAGAATCATCATGTCCCTATTTAAGGCAAACAGAACAGCACTTATATTCCTTTTCATACACAATTCTTTGACATCTACCACTTACTCCCCCCATGTCTAACCAGAACCTCCTAGGATTACTACCTAGGTTCATTTCAACACAAGCCCTAGCAACTCCTGGCCTGGTTAATTGTAGAGTAGCATTGTCTATAACCAGAATCCAACCTACAGGGCTCAAAATATCCTGTAGGCTCTCCCTATTAAGAGATGAATAGGGAGACTTGGAAGAGACACCTAAACAGGTACCAATGGAGTTTCAATTCCTGGATGGCACTCTGAAAACCACTTGAAGCACCTAAAAAGATATCCCTCAATGTACGTGGTATCCTTAAGCCACACTTTAACATAATCCTTATAAAGAGAAAATCGAATCAGTACATGCCTAGGGTCCAATACCCCTACAGAAAACTCTCCCTTCAATAACCACCTAGAGTTGATAAACTCTTTCACAACTCCCAACGACGACTTACCATAGGCACACTTGCCTATCAGAGTTTGATTAAATCCTTTCAAAAGCTCCCGAGTTTCACTTGGGGACCAATACATTCCTAGTTCCCCCTTGTTGAAAACGACTCTCTTAGCAGGCTTAGAAGAACTCTCAGAAATAAAGGAACCAAATGGGATGCTAGTAGGAGGAATCTGAACACCATGAGCATTCCGAACACTCGAAACAACTACTGGAAACTGAATTCCTTGCCTAGACAAAGGGATTTGAGAATTTGGCAAAGTTCGATCAGTCAAAGGAACTTGAGAGCTCGAAGTGAATTGGAAATTTAAACTGACTCAATGAGTGTTCTGAACCTTTGAAGAATCAATAGGAACCTCAACACTTACTAAGTTGATGTGCTTCACAAGACACAAACGACACATAATTAAGGTTTGGAACTAGAAGCTTCAAATTCTTGAGGGAGGGATGACTAGGGCAACAATGCCACTGAAATGGAGATGACGAGGTCTAGAGTGCCCGAGTAGGTGGATCACAGTCAAAGTAATAGAGACCACCGGTTTCATGTCCCGTACCAATCTTCTTCTTCGTCCGGAGATCTTAAAACACACAATAAGAAAAATAAAAAGTTACTAAACAATTGAGAGAGCAAATAATCTTGCTAACGAAAAGTAAACTAAAAGGAAACCAACAGACAAATACAACGGAGGATAAGGACATAACATGACTCAATTGAGTAGTTATCAAACTTGTAGCCTTATAAGTATCATTAGAAAGTGTAACATTATATGAAGGAGAAAAATGGTAAGTAGAAAATACACGAAGTCTATAATCTTGGAACTGCGAATGGAGAACAATAAACAAGTTGAAGCGATACCTATCTGGGCAAAGATAGCATTGGAAGAAGATAGAACAGACTATTGCTGAGACATGAACTGAGTACTCCTCTAGTATAGTAGTAACTAACTCAAAGTCAGGCGTAGATGACCATGAGGTTAGAGCAAGTAGAGAGGAAATAACATCCAGATAGGAGACCAGATTAACACCACCGAAAGATTTGTCATTTAAGTTCTAATAATAATCAACAGTGTGACCATCACGACTACAATGAGTGCATGAACGAGGCCTAAATCGACCACCAGTACGTCCTTCCTGACCTCCACGACCAGCACGATTGCCACAGCTACCTCGAGAGTTGTCACTATGGCCAATAGGAACAACAAGAGCGGAGCACTCAATGGGCAAGCCACGATATCAAGACAAGAAGAGTCAATAAACAAGGTAGCATGCTATAAGCGTGAGAAAACCTCAACGAGAGATAGTAAACTGGAGTCATCCAAAATATGAGAATGAATAGGCTCATATTCGAGTTTCAAACCCATCAAAAAATGAACAACATTCAAATCCTCATATTGTTTCTGCCAAAGTGCTGCATCAGTAGTGAACGGATATATTGTTTCAATTCCTCATAAACTCTCTGAACGTGAGAATAATAATCCGTTAGAATAAGAGTACCTTGGTCTAGGCAAAAATCCTACTAGCACACTACATAAGTACAAGTGAAACAATTGGTGTAAGAATATATGATGGCCAAGTGATCCCAAATTTCTTTGGCCATGTCAAGATAAAGCAAGGTAGAGCTAGTACTGGGCTCAACACTATTTAATAGTAAGGAGATAATATAATCATCCTCCTATTCCCACTTATCAAAACCAACAATATTGTTCTTGGGTTTAAAATCCATCAAATATTTTTTAAAACCCTTACCCCTAAGAAACACCTAAACCAATCGTGACCATAACACNTTCCCACTTATCAAAACCAACAATATTGTTCTTGGGTTTAAAATCCATCAAATATTTGTTAAAACCCTTACCCCTAAGAAACACCTAAACCAATCGTGACCATAACACATAACTAGCCTCGTTGAGCTTAACAAAAATCATGGGACCATGAAGGAAGGCCGTGAAAGAAGTCGGTGGCACTAGTGTGTTAAGGGAGGTAGTAGTGGTAGTGGTAGTGTCTTGCTTGGGTTCCATAGTAGTAGGAACAGTCAAATAAGAACAAAAACAATAAGAGACCTTAATAAAAGCTGCTGAACCGGATAGAAAACCAAGCTGAACCGGACATAAACATGCCGAACCGGTCAGAAACAGGCTGAACCGGTGTGGAAACCAAGCTGAACCATCCTGAAACAGGCTGAACCGGCCTGAAACTGGCTGAACCAGTCTGAAAACAGGCTGAATCGGATTTAACCGAGATGAACCGGACTGAACCACCACTTGAACCGGTCTGAACTGCAGACTGGGCCTGGTGAAGGCTGGGCTTGGATCCACCAGACTGGTTAGGCCTGGTGCAAACTGGGCTTAATAGCAATTGTCTGAACTTAATTGCAACAGATTGGGCTTTGGAAATTATTTAAGTCCGTAATAAAAGAGGACCCAATCCGACCCGAATGAAGACCCGGCACCCTTTCTTCCCAACTGTGAGGGTTTCAACGAAACCCTAGGATCCGACGGTGCCTCACACTAGCCCACTACGACGATCTCAAGCAGCAACACCACAACCATGTCGACTCCGGTAGCAATAACACCACGCTGACAAATCGCCAATGATCACAACGATCAACCATAATGCAACACCACAGACCACCACGTCATAACAACACCACAAACCTCCGGCAGCAACACCACCACCACAACAGACCTCCAGCAGCCATAACTCGATCACAAGGGACCTCCACAACCTACCCACAGTGTTTTCGACCTTAAATTATCCCTCACAACACTAGACCATGGTCGTGGGAAATACAGTGGATTGCGCCAACGAAAAAACAGTCAAACGGAAACAAGAAAAGAAAAAGAAGATAGAAAAAGGTGGACCAAAAAATTCTCAGATCAAATTCGAAATATCAAAAATTAATTCTCAAATCAAATTTTGGATTCATTATGCTCTGATATCATTTTAAGTTTAGAGAGTTAACACAATATTAAATAAACGGAGAGTGGTCAAAAACTTAACCGACCTTTCACAAACATCTCGTAATCATAAGGACGAGTATACCCTCTATGTGGTATGCTTATTACAACCCTAATATTCTTTAACACCCTTAACACCTAAAGTTGAATTAGACAATAGAATATAAGCCTAACTCTAACATCACATATGACTAAATTTTGACTCCAAACCTCATGACATGCTCCAAAGCATCCCACAACCAAGATTCCAAAATTTATCTTTCTTAGTGACATATTCTGCCAATCTCTAAGAATAACTTCCCCGTTAAAACTGCTTTGTTCGATCTGGATCTGAGTCATTCTCAAAGGACATTTGAATTTATGTGATTTCGACCTCTAAGGATAACTTCAATGCAAATAAACCCGGTTGTACCAAAACGATAATTACTAGGCCTAAAATATGACCCGTGTACTATGGCAACCACCCGTTTCAACCATTACTAAAAGGACTAAAATGCCCTTCACACCTAAAGCCAAATTAGATATAACGACAAAGTATAGGGAGATATTATCCTAACTTCAACGACACATATGACTAATTTTGACTCCAAATCTCATGGCACGTGCTTCAAAGCATCCCACAACCAAGATTCCAAAATTTCCCTTTCTTATTGACTTGTTCTGTATCAACAAGACTAAGAAAAGAATGATGTAAACCCATGTCCCATTTTGTGATTAATCTACATGGCAGTACTCATATTTATCAATTACCAATTAAGATAAGAGCAAATCAAACAATCGTGTTTACTCTCTTTCGTTCACACATGTTCAAGGTGATGCTTTAAAACTAAAAAATAAGGTGGAAAGTTAATTGTCTAGGCAATCTTGCCTGGCCATCTCTGTACAATTAGAAAAATATCAAGAAGAAAATTTAGAATGCAGCACTAAGATACGAAGACTAACAACAGCAACATTGTGGGACCTATGTTGGTAATGGTCCTTTTTATTGTTCTAAAAAACTAAAACTACGGGATGTTATGTAATTTTTTATGTAAGTAGCCCTCCCAAAGTCTTAGCCCCTTTTTACATTTTCAAATATCCCAAAATGTTTTTCAAATATGGTAACTCATACTGAATTCTTTGAGAAATCTGGTCTAACTGTGTGAACCTTTGATTAGGATCCAAGTACACATAATTTTACAATTTTGAATTAAGTGTGAACGTGTTTGATGATATCATTAAAAAAATTGGTTTATCAGCTAACATATCGGGTGGAGAAACATAAACAAAAATAAATAGAAGTATGTCAGAAAAAAGACATTTTGAGCACTAGCATGTTGTACTTGTTCCTCTTACATTCCAGGTAATATACTGTGCAGTACATTAAGAAATAAAAAACCACAACATATAGAGAGTGATGTGCTTTTAAGGCAAACTTCCTTCTTTAAACCTTTTCCATGAAGCAGACCATGGCCCACAGGTATAAATGGAAGTTTTCCATAAAGCTTAACAAGGCCCATAATTTGTGCATATTGATCTCGCATGCACAACAAATGCTATCTCATATTTTCTTTG